TTGGAGTGTCATACCCGACTGAAGTTGAGCCGCACAATTTGCTGCTGCAGCAGCAGCAAGAAAGGGCTCGAGTGCAGCAGCTTAGACAACACCGCACTCATAAAATACAACCATCCTCTTCCTCTGCTGCTGCTGCTGCTGTTGCTGCTGCTGCTCCTGCTCCTGCTGCTGCTGCTGCTCCTGCTGCTGACGCCCCAACGGGGCCTCTCACAGCAGCATCCCCCAGCACGCCACGCAAACACGAAAACAGGCAGCAGCAGCAGCAGCAGCAGCAGCAGCAGCAGCAGCAGCAGCAGCAGCAGCGCCTTGCTTCGCCCCAGCAACAACACAGCTGGACGAAAAATTTTTCAAAGCAGCAGCAGCAACCACTGAAGAAGAAATACAACAAATATGAAGCTCCTGCTGCTGCTGCTGCTGCTGCTCCGCGAAGCAGCAACGGCTTGCTTCGCCGAACTCCGCTGCTGCTGCAGCAGCAGCAGCAGAGACTGCAGCGGCTGCAGCAGCAAATGGATCAGGAGGCAGCAGCAAGGCAAACGAAGGCACTTCCAGCACGAGATAGGAAGCACCCAGACCAGCAGCAGCAGCAGCAGCAGCAGCAGCAGCAGCAGCAGCAGCAGCAGCCTTGGCCAGTCCTTGCAGGGGCCTCTAGCTGCCTATACACCTGAAAATGCTGCTTATGTACCTAAGGGAGCTGCCTATACACCTGAAGGAGCTGCCTATACACCTGAAGGAGCTGCCTATACACCTCAACTGTCTCTTTCCTCTGTCTGCACCCCTCTAGATTTTTATGAAGAGGACTTGTAGCAGCAGCACTCAATCTTCGCCTGTTGCTGCTGCTGCTGTTGCTGTTGCTGTTGCTGTTCCGGTGTCTCTACAGCAAACCCTTTAGCAGCAGCCTGCCGCTTCTGGAGCCCTCCCCTGTCTATGGTTTAGGGTTTAGAGCAAAGCCTAGGGTCTAGGGTTTAGAGTAAAGCCTAGGGTTTAGGGTTTAGAGTAAAGCCTAGGGTTTAGGGTTTAGAGCAAAGCCTAGGGTTAAGGGTTTAGAGTAAAGCCTAGGGTTTAGGGTTTAGAGTAAAGCCTAGGGTTTAGGGTTTAGAGTAAAGCCTAGGGTTTAGGGTTTAGACTGAAGCCTAGGGTTTAGGGTTTAGACTAAAGCCTAGGGTCTAGGGTTTAGACTAAAGCCTAGGGTTAAGGGTTTAGACTAAAGCCTAGGTTCTAGGGTTTAGACTGAAGCCTAGGGTTTAGGGTTTAGAGTAAAGCCTAGGGTTAAGGGTTTAGAGTAAAGCCTAGGGTTAAGGGTTTAGACTAAAGCCTAGGGTTAAGGGTTTAGACTAAAGCCTAGGGTCTAGGGTTTAGACTAAAGCCTAGGGTTAAGGGTTTAGAGTAAAGCCTAGGGTTAAGGGTTTAGACTAAAGCCTAGGGTTTAGG